GGCTTGTGCAGGGCTGGGAAGTTGACTCCAGGGTTCACCCGAGGTGAGAGGTACATCCTGTCATAGAGGACCCAAGGTGGTCAGTCCTGCCAGAAGTAAATGGCAGAAGTTCGGTCTTTTCGGGTGGGGACATGAGGTGGTGCAGGCCCATATCATGTCACCACCCTGGCCAGAAGCTGCGATCTGACACGCCAATGTCTTCTTTAATGAGTCCAGCCTCACGTAGAGTATTCTGGCGCGCCGGAAGGATCGGGCCCCGCACAGCTTTGCCATCTCCGACCCTGAGGGGCCCTCTTCTCCTCTCTGAGGGGCTCGGTCCCTGCAACCATGGATGTGGGGAGTCCTCCTCTCCCAAAATCCTCATTCCCAATAGAAGCCATTGTGCTTCTATCAGTGCTTTCCCCTACCTAAAGCCCATCAGCATATTAATCCACAATTTGGTCTCTATTTGAATTTCTTATTCAAACCATCAAGCTAATGAGTGGCCAGGAGTGAAGAGTTTCATCCCATAAACATAGGACAGGCAGTGAGGCAGGCGATGGGGTCAGACCTTTCCCAGAGAAATCCCAGACAACCGGGGAGGGGCGGAAGTGGATGAAACAGTGCCTGGCAAAGTATGGAAGCAGAGATGGAGTCTATTCTGTTCTGTGCCCTGTGTTCTTGATCAAGATCAAGAAAAACAAAAAAATACTCGAAACCAAAACAGCGCGCACTCAGAAAGGGTTCCAGAGATATCAGGATGCCGGGGGAGGGGCTGTCACACACGAGGGGCGGACTCCCCAACATTTGGGGGAAACGTACTACGGTAAGCTTTCGCCATGGGTGTGGGAGACATAACAGAAGTCAAGCCACTTGGCATCTGAGACAAACAACATCTATCACCCTTAAGTCAAGGGTGGGTGTGAGGATGAGAGGGATACCCTGCTCTCTCTGTGCTGGGTAGAGAAGAAAAGAAACTAGAGCAGGTAAGATAAAGGGACCCATAAGGCCCACCTGCAACTAATGCTTCCACGTGATAACAGAAACTACATTCATTTTTTTTGTAAGTTATTTATTATTTAAGAGTGTGTGGTGGGGGTCCGGGAAGAGAGGAGAGAGAAGAGAAGGGGAGAGAAGAGAATCCCAACGGAGGCTCTGTGCTGAGTGCGTCTGCGGGGCTGCGGTGACTCGCAGCTTGAATCTCATAACGGGATCTGTCCCAGCGCGAGTTGGCGCTTAACCGACTGAGCACCCAGGTGCCCGCCACACCCATTCTTGATATAGTGTGTTCACGTAGGAACTTCAACCCATGCTGGCACATCAACTAGGGGCTTTATATATCTCACCTGTTAATCACTTTTTAAGTTCGAGTGTTCGGAGGAAACCCAATCTGAACATGCAAGCGAACGGGAAAGCGAATGGCCTGTGTAGACTGTGAAGTTCAGTTAAAGTCAGCGTCAGTCACCGTTGGATCAGGACTTCCAAACATATCAGATTTTGTTGTGGTCTTTTGGGCTCTGATTTGCTGAGGGAATTTCTTGCCTCCCCCCCCGCCCCCCTCCAAATCTAGCACCATCTGGGAATAGAGCAACCACTGATTTTTAGCTACCATGGTAAAAACATTTCCCAGTCTCCTTGTCAGAAGTGCTTGGTCATGTGAGCTAAGTCTTGACCAATGGGATGTGAAAATTTAGTCCTGGTTAGGCTCAGGTCGTCCTCCTTTCTTCTCTTTTCTACTCCCTGTACCACCCGCAGCTTCGGATTAGAATGAAGCTGAGTGGATCATCTGGGATTGAGGGGTTCATGTTCTTGATAACTGTCAAACAAACACTTGAAGCCTGGTCCCTCTGAGGAGCAGGTGCAGCATATATGCGTATTGCCACTACTTGGATTGTTCATAGAGAAATAGATGTGGAGCTTACGTTTAAGCCACTGATATTTGGGTCTTACATGTAGCCAAAATAGCATCTAATTAATATATGCCCCACCTGCAAGAACCAGGCTCACCTTCATGCAAGGAAGCCCTCCTTCCATCAGGTCAGCAAAGTCCCAGAACAGTATCCATTGGACCAACTCATGTCACGGGCCACCCCTGCAATCACTGTGCTCAGAGAAAGTGTTAATAGGCAGATTGTCCAGGTCTGGGTCCCTGTGCCTGCTGACCAGAAGAGCAACTTCCAGATCACAAAGACCAGGCCTGGGCAAGGGATAGGTTAGCATACATGAAATTAGATTTGAGTTATTACCTAGGGAAGGGTGCTCATAGATTAAGCATGACTCTTGATTTTGGCTCAGATCATGAATGTATGGTCTGTAATTAGAGTCCTGGGTGGGCAAGCTCTGTCATGCGTCAGAGGCGGCACACTGGATCCCCCTCTCTCTGCTTTGTCTCCCTTCACCTCTCGCCCACGCTCTTCCCTCTCTCTCTCTCTCAAAAAAATAAAATAAATAAACAAATTCAGCAACAACAAAAAAGGAGAGGACACTAGTCATCTTACCATCATCTGGGAAAAGACCACTACAGAACAGAACATGCTATTTTGCAGGCTTTTGTTGTTGTGGCTATAATATTACGACATAGGACCAGTCAGATGTAAGTAACAGTATCCTTCTTGAAATAGCTGAAGCAAATAATAATTGTAACATAAGTAATATGTCAGTTATATTTCATAAATAACCTTATTATTTTACTGAGGGCTTGCTATGTACTGGCATAGAACTTTACCTAATGATTCTCACTAAATCTGATATAGCTTTATGGAAAGATACATTCCATATGTCTATTTTATACATGGAAGAACTGAGCCTAGTGAGAGATTGAATAATTTATCCAAGGTCGCAGGTTGGGCTCAAACCTGAATATGTGTAGCCAGAAACATGCCCCACTTAAACACATGGTTTGGGCGCTCCCTGTGTGTGGTCTTGATTAAGACACACTTCGCTCAGGTCATGATTCACCAGTCCGCGGTATGAGCCCGCTGACTCGGTTCTTGTGCTGACACTCAGGAGCCTGTTTCAGATTCTGTGTCTCCTCTCTCTCTGCCCTCCCCTGCTTCTGACCTCTCTATCATCTCAAAAAATAAAACGTTAAAAACTTTTTAATAAAAAAAAAAAAGAACCTGGGTTGCTTTCTCTCATAACCACAGCTTACACTTTCTTCCCTCTCCGCCTCTTTTCCACGCCGGTCACAGATACATCCTGAGGGAGTGCAGAGTTACTGCTCATCACTATGACTTTTTTTTTTTTTTTTTTCCAGGAATCAGGGAGCCAGGACACAGTGTGCATCCAGGGGCTGTACCGGTATCACCATTTCTTCCATCTCCTGCTTTTAGTGTTTCTAATCTTTTACTTCCAAGATATTTATTTATTGCTTTTGAGAGAGAACAGGGGCAGGCAGACAAGAGACAGAGATCCAAGCAGGTTGCACTGTCAGCGGACCCGACATGGGGCTCAAACCACAACCCGAATGGAGATCATGATCTCTGAGCAGAATCGTCAGTGGAAGCTTCACCCACTGACACCTCACTGATCTCCCTCCACAACTATTTCTCCCAATGGCAATGCCAGGCCCTGTTCTGGGTGGGGATCAACAAATGAAAAACAGACGAACTAGTGAGGGCGTGTAGCAATCATAGTAACAGAGACGAAACATCAAATGCTTATTAGGATGACAATAAAATGAATGTAAATCATCACCATCATCCATTTAAGGCCTTCAGGGGTGTGGATGGGATGAAGACGCGTAAGCTTTTTTTAAGTTTATTTATTTTGAGAGAAAATGTTGTTGTTGTAGGGGGGGGTTGTAACGAGAAGGAAAGAGATACAGAAGTCTGAAGAAGGCTCAAGAGCTCTGAGAGAGAATCCTAAGAGCTGAACATGGGCTTTAGAGCTCGTCACCAACCACAAGATCATAAGACCCAAATAAGTCGAGGTTCTCATCCACTGAGCCACCCAGGCACCCCCCCAGATGGTTGCTACATGCTAAATGGGGTGCATCCAGGGGGCAAATGTCACTGAGGAGGTGAGCATGGGCGAGGCCTGAATAAAGGACTGAGCCCCTCAGTGGATATTAAGGGAAGAGGTTTCCAGCTAGGGAACAGGGGGTGTAAAAGCCAGTGGACTTCACAATCAGCATCTTTCCTCCTCATAGTGAAGAGATATCTCTGGATCATAGCCCTGAGCCCCAATGAACAGTCACCCTTTTCCCAGTAGACTTTGAGAAAGTCAGGGCTGAGGCGGGAGGCTCATTGTAGATCCCCTTTTGAAGGTCACATGCCTCACTTGCTGGACCAATCACGCAGTGCTCCAGGAAAATGGAGTGTTCTGATTGCTATCTCTGGGGCAGGCATGGCATGTAGTGCATCCACCCCCTTTCCCCCTGCCTCCTGTTCGGTGTTAACCCCCAGTTTAAGGCTTGAGCCCAAGCCAAATAGCTTTCGCTTTGTACTGGTCAATTCTGCTTCGATTCTCTCTCTCTCTCTCTCTCTGTTCTCTCTGTCAAAATAAAACTTTTTAAAAATCACCAAATTTCAACATCCAGAATGTTGTTGTTTTATCAACTACTGGCAACTATGATATATGCTGCTATATAATTCGCTCACAAGACCACACGTCACAGTGCATTATCGATTATTTATTCCTACCCAGACTGGGAAGGTGGAGATTACACGATAATACCAGTATGTTACATTTTGGAATATTTGCTTATGTGCCAAACCGATTGATAGATGAAGGAAGAATCAGACAAGCCACCTGTCCAGAGTCACACTAATGAAAGATGAGACCGGCACTTTGTCCGCCTGCCAGTGGGGTCTCTAGGGCAGCCCGCCCCCTCCCGCCTGGGGGGTTAGGGCGGCTGCCTCCGGCATTGTCTCTCGGCCCAGGCTGTGTGTCCCACGGGACCCTCGGACCCGGGAGGCGCCTGGCCGGAGGCCCGGTGTGTCAGGCGCTGTGCATCGTGGATTGTGCCAGGGAGGGGAGGAGGCAGGCCTGCAGCCCCCGTGGCGGGGGATTGCATCTAGTCATGGATCACACTCTGGGCGCCCCTCTGGCCTGGAGGCCTCCCTCTGCCTCTCTTGGCTGGGGCGCCTGGGGCTCCCACCCAACCCCGTGGACCCCAAGTTCCAAAGGTAAAATGGATGGATCTGTGGTGACCCCCCGCAATGGTTCCTGAGGGCAATGCCGAGCTCTGTGAGCTTCCAGCTGGGTCCTGGGAGACACTCACACGCTCGGGTGTCTGAGCCCTACAGTCCTAGGATCTGGGGCTGGGCTGACCTCCTTAGAGTGGCACTCCTGAGCATGCTGTGGGGTTCAAGACTCGTGCTGTGTTGTGTGGTGGGGTGGGGGGTGGTGGTGTGGGGTGGGGGGGGGCATAAGTCGTTTTATCTTTCAGGGAGCCTGAGCGACAATAACCTACACGGGGCAGGGGTGGTGCTGGAGTCCCTAGCTTGCAACCCTCTAGTGAGTCCCCAGGAGGAAGCCGCTCCTCCGGGGAGGATGACAAAAGCCCATCAGGCCGAGGAAGGCCGGGAGCCTCAGAGCGACTGTAGAACGCATGGTTTGTATGCGGGCGCCAGAGCTCGGCTTGCCGGAGTCGAGGGAAGAGGCGAGGGAGGGTTCACGGCTGGCGCTATCGGCCGCCGACGCCTGCCGGGGCTGATAGTCTCCCCGCCCTCCGCACACGTCCAGTGGTTCGCCTGTCCTGGGCCGGGGCGGGGCGGGCAGCGCGGGACCGCGGCCCTCCAAGCCGCGCGCGGTCCAGCGGGTTGTGGGGTGGGCGGGGGCGTGTGTGGGAACAGTAAGGCAAGCCACCAGCGTTTCGGAGTTCAGCGGGGGGCGCCTGCGGGGTCCTTCGAGGGTCTCTGCTTGGCTACAGGCGAGCGAGGCGGCTTTGCTTATCGGTCTGCAGCTGGTATGGCGGAGGAGGGGGAGGCTGCTGTGGCCCGAGGACTGGGCTCTGACCCTCCTGTGTCCCTCCCTGCAGTGGCCCTGGCTGGTCGTTGCCCGCGGTCCCGAAGAGCTTCTGTGCTTCACCGAACGGTTGGAGGACCTGGTGTGCTTCTGGGAGGAGGCGGCAAGCGCCGGGGTCGGCCCCGACAACTACAGCTTCTTCTACCAGCTCGAGTGAGTGCGACGGGGCAGGTGGAGCGCCCCCACCCTCTGAGGAGGGGGCGGGTGGGGAAGGGCTCACACTTTGGGACATCTGCTGGCGTCGGGAGCGGGAGGACACTGGTGGGACGCGAGGCCACTGGCGGTCACTGGTGGGAAGCCCCGGGGTCAGTGCCGACGCGCCCCCTAGTGGCTGGGGCCGGAACAGTCTCGCGATCTCTGTTGCGGAGCGATCGCAAACATTTGGGCAGGGACAGCACCCCTCCAAATAGGACGAAGGCGTCGCGTAGTCGGGGGCCGGACGCCCCCTGGTGGTAGTGTCCAAACCGGGCCCCAGCTCCAGGCAATGCAAACTCTCTCGCACCCCCCACCCCCAACTTGCTCCCTTCCCTCTCTGGCCCCTTGGCGCACAGGGGCGAACCGTGGAAGCCATGCAGCCTGCACCAGGCGCCCACGGCTCGCGGCGCTGTGCGTTTCTGGTGCTCGCTGCCTACGGCCGACGCGTCGAGCTTTGTGCCCTTAGAGCTGCGCGTCACAGCCGTATCCTCGGGCGCTCCACGCTATCACCGTATCATCCACATCAACGAAGTGGGTACGTGCGCAGGGAATGGGGAAATTGTCGGGTGAGGGAGTCTCGGTCACCGCCCACCTGATCAACCCCTCTCGCAGTGCTCCTGGACCCCCCCGCGGGGCTGCTGGCGCGGCGGGCCGACGAGGGCGGCCACGTGGTACTGCGTTGGCTCCCGCCTCCTGGAGCCCCCGTCGCAAGTCTGATCCGCTACGAAGTGAACATCTCCTCAGGCAACGTCGCAGGGGGCGCTCAGAAGGTGAGGCCGCCCCGACCGCCAGTCCAAAAGGCTGTGTGGTGGACAGCCCCGCCTCCCCTTCTAAATCCCGCCCCGATGGCCAGCATGGCCCCGCCTCCTGGCCTCGCCCTCCAGGCCCACCTCTGACGCCCGTCATCTCTTTGCCCAAAACACATCAACTCCCACTGACATGTCTTCCTTCCCAGTGCCTCCCAGTCCACCTGGACCCAAGCCCAAAGCCCACTTACCCCCTTGTCCCAAATACTACACCCCTTCAACATCCCGACCCTTGGCTCCCTAACCACGCCCCTAAATAGCCCGAGACCGCCCCCTCCTCCCTGGACCTCCGTCCTGATTGGCCCGAGCCTTCCTGGAACCCGCCTCTTGCTTTCATTGCCCTTCCCCCTCACCGCAGTGTTGCGAAGCTGTCCTTCCTTTCTCTGATTGGCTCAGTGCCGCCCCCACAAGCTTTTCTCTGCTCGCCCCGCCCCTATTGACCACGCCTCTCACCCAGGCCCCGCCCCCAGGTGGAGATCCTGGATGGCCGCACTGAGTGCGCACTGAGCAACCTTCGCGGCCGAACGCGCTACACTTTTATGGTTCGCGCGCGTATGGCTGAGCCGAGCTTCGGTGGCTTCTGGAGCGCCTGGTCCGAGCCTGCGTCGCTGCTGACAGCTAGTGGTGAGGCCCCAGCTAGATGCTAGGAGGGCCTGGGGAGGAGCATGGGGTAATCCTACTATCCTGACTTCCTCCCTGCTTTGTAGACTTGGACCCTCTCATCCTGACGCTCTCACTCATCCTCGTGCTCATCCTGCTGCTGCTGGCCGTGCTCGCCCTGCTTTCCCACCGCCGGTGAGCGCCCCATTCGGGCACCTAGCCCAGACTCCAACGCACTTACGTTCTCCTTTTGCTGTGGAAAGCTAGGCTCAGAGACGGAAAGGCACTTTGCCCAGGGACACACAGTGAGGAGTCCGTGGCAGGGCTGGGATGCAAGCCAGACCATATCCAGAATCTTAGTTAAAATTCTTGGGAACATTCACCTGGTTTTCCTTGAACCTCAGCGGTTGCTCCTTTTTGAATTCCTTTGCTTGTTCCTTTTCCCAATTTCATCAACTTTTGTAAAATCCCCAGATGGGCCGCATGGAAAGATTTAACATCCTGAGTGCCTCCTGCCTCTGTTATCAAGCTCCTTAGATTATTTATGGTAGGACCAGCCATCCTGAGGTTTTTGTTATTCGTAGCTCATACTATGTGGTTTCATACCCCCAAGCCTTGGCACATGCTGTTCCTTCTGCCTGCAATGCCTTTCCTGCCTTGTCTGCCAAGCAGTATTCTGTTGTCTTTAAGGGCCTTGTTTATTTATTTGGATGGAAAATACATACTGAGTGCCAACTCTGTGCTAGGCACTGGGGAGAAAGTGGAAAACAAACATCTCTCTGACCTTGTGGATCTCAAAGCTGAGTCGAATAGCAAACAAGGGTACCAACATATACGGGAGCAGAGAGGAAAGAGAGAGAATCCCAAGCAGGCTCCATGCTGTCAGTGTAGAGCCCGACGCAGGGCTTGATCCCACAAACAATGAGATCATGACCAGAGCCAAAATCAAGAGTTGGCTGCTCAACCGACTGAGCCACCCAGGCACCCCACCAACAGATATTTGATTATCTATTGTGGTAAGTGCTATCACAGAAACAAATGGGGTGTGGGGCCGTGACAGAATGGTCAGGGAAGGCCTCTGGAAGATGATATCAGAATGGAAACCTGACGGTTGGACAAAGGCAGCCGCGAGACAATTGAAAAGGAACAGCAAGTGCAAAGGCCCCGAGGTGGGAATGAGCTTGGGAGCACTGAAGCAGCTGCCAAGAGGGTATCTCTGGCTAGAGCAGAATATATTATGAGGAAGTGGTGAATGATGAGGTGAGGGAGGTCACAGGGGTCAGAACATGCAAGGTTGTCTGCAGGGCTGTGGAGAAGAGATTGTTATTCTTTTTTTTTTTTTTTTTTAATTTTTTAACTTTATTTATTTTGAGAGGGAGAGAGAGAAAGCATACATAAGATGAAGAGGGACAGAGAGAAAGGGAGAGAGAGAGAAAGAGAGAGAGAGAATCCCAAGCAGGCTCTGCAGTCAGTGCAGAGCCCAATGCAGGGCTCGAACTCACAAACCGTGAGATCAT